TAACAATAGCAGTAAAACACTAATAACTGATTTTGCCACTGAGACTGATTATATAATGTAAATTGAATTAATTAATTTAAATTTCGCATTTTTCAGCTTTCCATTGCAAAGATGGCGCTGACTTCAATTCGAGAAAATTGAAAGTTTTTTCCAGCATTTTGCAATAATAATAACATTTTTCAGTTTGCTCTACTAAAATCCCAAAACTTCCAGGTGAGGTTTGGGCTTGTATTTGGGGGAAGATCATAGTCCTTAAATAGTAGCTGTATTTTAGATGGTGTAAGGTTAACTCTGTGCTCAATATTGAACCATGTAAGAACTTTTTGAAAGAAGTTTAGGCCAGCAGGACACCCCAGAAATGCATGTTCCAAGGAATCAGCGGATTTAAAGAAAAAACAATCTTCACTTTCGGATATTTAACTCTTAAGCTCCTTTTTGGTCACTAAAATACGGTGTAATAGTTTAAAGGAGAATTGTTTCAATTTGTTGTCGGCCGAGAGGTGAGGTATATTTTTGAATAATTTTTTCCATTTATCTTCTATGCCAGAGTAATGTTGGGCCCAAGACTTGACGGCTGCAGGTAACCTCTGATTTTTCTTGAAACAGAAGGTAGTAGTCTTTGCATTTCATTTTAGAGAGAAAAACCGATTTTTCAGTGGAAAAGTCAAAAAAGGCAGAATTATCGAGAACAGAATTCTTAGGTCTTAGCGTAGAAGCCGCCTTGGATTTGAGGTTTGGTGGAATAGATGCAAGGATTTGAAAAGAGTTTAAAAAATTTGTTAACATATTGTTCATTCGATTAAATTCTTCAAAAGTAAGAAAATTACCATTTTCATTTAAAATATCTTGAATGTAATAAATTCCATTTTCGGTCCACTACTACCAAAAAAGCGATTTGCCTTCAATGGTTTATGTCTTGGTTATTTCAAAGAATAAGGTCACTTTCGTAGCTATCTTGGTTGACCTGGCGCAATTCCTTAAAGTAATCTAGCATTTCTAAGCAGAATAACGATGCACTTTTGTCTAACTTCTTTGTATTGTAATTGCACTTCAGTAAGAAGTTGAGACCTCCAAACTTTTCGAAAAAAAGCATTTGGAATAGCTTTCCAAGCATCAGTCTCAATAGATTAAGAACGTCCAGATGCTTAATGTTACGTATGGGGTTTATGAAACTCGCATTATCATAAAAGTTATGAGGTAATAAACCGCCGTATTAACAGACTTTCTACAGTGGCTTTCCTCGTTTTATACGTGTAAACGGTAATTCCATACCTACGCTTATAAAGAAGGCTAAGGTAGTTCTGATTCATAAGAAAAATCGAAACTCTTCCTCTTTTCTTCCAAGTTTTAGCGATTTAAAATTCTAACGCGCGGTTTGGGACTGGCACTAGTTACGCACGCGAAATCATAGTTTTTTCAAAGCAAAAGTTCCCCGTATACAGTTTATCACTTAGCATTGCAAAACGCCCTGTAAACATTGCCTTCAGCAATCCCTTAGCAACTGCCGTAAAGCTGTGGTGAAGAAATACCCCCTTAAAGCCCATAAGTTTTCACAGTGACCCCAAATGTTTCTGCCGGCCTTCAATGATATTGAATCAGCCGTGTTAAATTAATTCAATTTTCCCTGACTTTTCTTGAAAACATCGATTTCCCCTGACTCACAATAAAATTCCCTGACTTTTCCCTGACCTCGAAGATTTTTTTCCCTGACCATTTCCTGACCTGTGGCAACCCTGCAACTTCCAGACAATAGACCATATTCGTATTCTCGGTATTGGCCTGGAACTAGCTTGCAATTGAGGCTAATGCGGGGAGTCGTGATGATTTTCCCCTGCAGGAGTCTCTTTTGCAAACTAGTTCCAGTCCAAAACCGAGAATACGAATATGGCCTGTATTGTTTGGCAGAGAAAGATGCATTTGATGTATTTGAGGTGAGCAGGGATCGCGCAGTGGTAAGAGCGCTCGCCTCCCACCACTGTGTACCGGGTTAGATTCCCAGACGTGCGTCGAGTTTGTTGTTGGTTCTCTATTCTGCTCCGAGAGGTTTTTCTCTGGGTACTCCGGTTTTCCCCTCTCCTCAAAAACCAACATTTCCAAATTCCAGTTCTGTCCTGGAATGCACGGGCATTTCTGAATGAGTTCTTGTGAACTCCTTGGTGCTCCGTGTGTAAACAAATTACATATGTGCATTTACATGCAAGATTTATCGAGCAATTGCGATGACAGGCTCAAATATCGCTAGGGTAAGGCGGCCGGCTCGGACCTCGCGAGCTTGCACACCTCTCATCATTCCCAGCTTGTGCAAAAGACAAACCTTCCTCTCCCTCACCCAAACGTGCCAGCCAGTAGGACCCTATGTAGCCAGAATTTATCGCCACCTGACCCCGAGCTTTCAGGTCACTGACTGATTAACCTGGGATAACCCTGAAAGTGTCCCTTGTCAACAGTGTCAGTCTTCAACCTTGGCATTAATTGGATATCACAAAACACACGCCATCTTCAAAGAACTTCTTTTAATCAACAATTCATGTCGCTCAGTTCTCCACAAGAAGAATTATTTACATACACTTTTTTTTCTATCTCGCTTATTACAAATTAAATGAAATCAACTCAAATTTTTTTTTTCACATTCACTGGGTAGCATTTTGCAATTTAATCTCTACTAAATAATTTAAATTTACAAATCCATAATTATTTTGTGAAAGCCTAACAAAACAAACATGGAACAAAAGATGCCGCTTCGTGTCACTCCTGACTTTATAACAAAGCATGCGCACACCTAAAACAAGGGTCGCTTTCGATGGAGCTACGTAGGCTTGAAATTTTATAAAAATTTGTTTGCTGGAAAAATTACGAGAATTTGTATGGAATGCCTTCCCTGTAATTCTGTTAATATTCAAGCTTACATAAAAGATAACGAAAAGAAATTATCATTGATATGTAACTTCAGTTTCATGATTTGTGCGAAGACATTTAAAGAAAAAATTCAGTCGCATGTCGATATTTGTCGGTATTTCTAACTGTAAAAACTGTCTTTCAACCGTTACAACGGTTTTCTAGACTGCAAAACCATCACTTTCGAAAGCACGAGATTCCCAGTACTTCTACGCCCTGCACGAGAGAAGTTTGGGTCCCAGCAAACGCCCTGTGGGTTCCTTCAGTAATCATGTCTCAAATCACATTTGGAGTGGCCTTAATCTACGTTAACAGGGCTTTATACAAAACTATCTTTATCATTAAATCTTGTTCTAATTCTAATTTCACTAGAATCTGAACATCAATCCCTATACTAATCACACGAATAAAGGAAGCGACTATTTCCCATAATGCAAGACTGTATTTATGAAAACGGTTTTATTGAAAAAAGTGTCCCTTTGCACCAAGTGAGCTACACACCTTGAGTTTACGACTCCTAAAGGCCAAATTTCTCCAAGCGATGAAAACAAGGATAAGAGAGTGGAAACTGGAAACAGAGAGAGAGGCATTCCTTTGAACTTTTGGATCGCCAACTTGACCAGGGTAAAATTTTCTTAACACCGTTTTCATAAATCCAGACATACACATTTTCTGATTTATTATCAAAATAACTACTTATCTTGTGTTTTCTCTTCACAGTTCAAAGCTCTGCCAAAAATACTTTTCATTTACAAACCAACACTTCAAGGCGAATATCAAAACAGTCTGATAAATATTTATTAGTGGCAGCAAGGGAGCCGGGAGGGTTCGTGTCGCCAGTTTGAATATCCAAATTTCCAGCATCTCTAATAGACTAATAGATTTACACTAAAACAATTAGATTATTTGCTCTCCCACTCGATTTCTATGCGTGATAGTTGACTCGGGCTGCACCTTCCTCAACTAAAACGCAATAAAAATCTCGGTCATAATCTAATTGTTAAATAAATAGTTAACGGTGAATAATGTATAAAAGGCATATCTTAAGACTATTGCGTCAATGTCCGATACGTGTGAGTAAACCGCACTCGTACATCTCGCAGCTCACAACTTGCAGCCTATCAAACGTACGTGCAACGCTCTAGCCGGTTTAAATAAATCTTCGCAGTTGTTATTTGGGTCCTAAAACCGCGCGACAATCGAAGATTGGTGTAAGAGTTTATAATCCATCAAATATTTTCGAACGCCGGCGCGCGATTGGTCTAAACGCGTCACGTAACTAAATATTCCCCAGCCAAAACTGGGGAATATCCCATTAATATTACCATATTTTCAAAACCGCGCGTGTTGCCAAAAATATCTGAAGGATAATAAACACAATAACCTCCATTTGGCGCGAAAATGTGCTCGGATATTTGTCCTTGGACATACCTGTTTTTCAAAGCTCACAGTTTTCCTCGAGCTATTGCTCTCGAAAACATGTTCGCTTCTCGGAACAGATAATGTCCGCGGACAAATATCCGAGCACATTTCCGCGCCAAATAGAGGCTACTGTTTGCATAGCCTAACTTCAGAGTTGGTTAAAACCTGGAGTACGAAAGGCGTGAGGACACATGTATAAGAAATGATTGGTCGTATGACAATATCAAAATCTAACTACATGATATTGATATAATAATATAAATATTTACCCTACCTAGATCGCCCAAGCGAGGCACCGCTTGATTCCTTTAACGGGAAAAATTTTATTTTACACAAGACTTGTATTCTCACAAGTCTGCCTCTGTCTTTATGATTTAATGCTATGAAGCTTTTCCTTCTTGTAAGGCTGCACCGTGCTTTAGTACCTGCAAGGTATTAGTAGGATAAAAACGGTAGCATAATGCACTACACATCGATACTTGAAGGCGTGGTTGTTAGAACGACTTACTGCGTTGTATGCTTGGCTTTACAGACGCCAACCCGTGCACTGGTAACCTAGCCTTCCTTTCTGTTGGCGCTGTTATTCTCTTCACCTAGCAAACGTTAGATATTTTCCCATTTTCCAGGGACGGTTTTTTCCTTGCAAATTTCCCGATAACAACAGATGGTGAAATGGACTTGGTAGGTGAGCTTGATGTACTGGAATCCTTTTGATTTCCACTTTCTTCTTGTCCAATCTTCCCCGCAGTGGAAGAATCACTGTCACTATCTTCCGTTTCCCCGGCGTTTTTTCCTTTCTTTTTCAGCAATTTTCTCTTGCTCCGTGTTTCGTTCTTATTCCTTGTGAATTTCTCATCCCTGGGCGGTGATTTGGTGTACTTCACACCTTCAACAGTCTTGTTTGGTCCATCACATGATTCTGGATCACGCGATGACGGTGTACAGCGGTTAACAACCTGACCGTGAAATTTCAGTCCAAGCACAACCCCGAGAATAAGACTTAACAGCACGGCGGTCACGACAGCCACGGCAAACAATCCATCATCCCTTGAATCTGCAAACAAAATAATCACAGTAAGTGAATGTTTCAAAGCCTTACTTAGTGTTACCTTTACTATCGTTTTCACTGCAACGTGAAATTCAAGTCAATCTCGGGCGACATTTAAGTTAGCAAAAGACTGCCGTTCATCAAACATACATAATATGAACGAGTTACTATGTTGTTCTGCTGTTGTGAAAACATGGTGAACAGAATGCGAGGTAAAGTTGTCAAACAGTAGACGAAGACACTGCAGCCAATCTAGGGTATGGATTTGTCGGCAATGTATCTAGACACTGCCAGAAATCAACACGCACTAGCTACTGAACAAGTGACTATCATTTACAGTAAACAAGAGTTTAAACGTACCTTGTACGTCTGGTTCTGGAGTGGGTTCTGAAAAGAAAATCACTCACTTTAATGTTATAACATCAAACATAGCGACACAAATATACAATACATAGATTGCTTGGAGTTCGTAAACCTTCAATCACTAAGGGGCTGTTTACACTGGAAAATTGACCCGTCCTGTTGCTTATTTATTGACTCATGTCCATATGTGAAAGGCTTGGCTGGTTATCTTAGTACTAGGATTAAGCTTGCTGCATGTTAACTTATACGGTTGGATAAACTCGCCTGCTCGAAGAAACAACCTCTCTTTTTAGCCACGCTAGAACTGTGGAAAAGGAACAGAAGCCTCCATATTTACTGGAAATTCAAGTTGCTCAAACACGTCAATTTTGTGCACTCGCAAGGTCTTTTCACAGTTTATTCAATCAACTAAAGAATTACTTTAAACGAGGCCTGTTCAGCACCCTTGCTCACTTGACAACGAGACACTGGCGTAATTTCTATTTTACCATTTCAAATGTATCAAAAGCAACCACATTGTTAATAAAATAAAAAGTAATGCTACTGATCCTCTATTATTTCAGAATCAACTTGGCTTCCGAACAGTGCTGCAAGACCGCGGTTTAGGTCCTTTTTTTGTACTTTACTTGTATGAGTAAACTAAAAACTTACAAAGAATAGATCATGCACTTTGAAGAAACATTTCGCCAAAACCTAAGTTCCATAGTGTATACTGAATCGATATACATCCAATTCGGTCGCCATATTGATAGACAATATCGCGGCCGAAATATTCAACAAGTAGTTTTCATAGTGGCGGAAATCAACATCAGCGCGTCTACACTGTGTTTGACCTCATTGCACACGCATACACATCTCAAAGACTCGAAACGGACTGCGTAACGTTTAACGCCAACAATTGGTTGTCGGACCGTCAGTACTTTATTTGGTGACTTCACGTATTCAAACATAACACGCAACTTCCACCACTCATGCGTTACTGAAATTACCTGTCTTTTGGGAACTGCCATCGGTCAAGGTCACCAGAACAGTACTAAAAACCGGTGGGGTGGTGCTTACTTCTGAAATCAATGTATGCGTACAAAAAAAATCAGTGTTTGCTGACATAGACGGAATTCACAACCGCCCGCCAGAGATCCATGTAGAGTTGCTTTACAACCGCATATGACGTTCGTGATTGACAGTGGAAGTTAGCAGAGCACGGAAGCTAGCTCAAGTAGATGAACTAGGTGGTAAGGTTTTTAGAACAGTCCTGGATTTACCTCAACAAGCAAGAGCACGTTGGCATGTGATTTCGTTTCTGGTAAGTGAGAGAATTACGAACGTACGCAAGAGATGCATGGAAGCTGCGTGGTAATGGAAAGTAAACGAAAATGCATTGACCTGAACAGAAGGTCATCCAATAGGCTGCAATCAACAAATCATTTCGACCACTTAAAACCACGCTGCTTATGGCGTAATTAGTTACAAAAAAAGCAATACGAGTTTTTGTACCGGCGACGGCATGTGAATGACCTGAATGAGAAAAAGTGCCCATAGACCAAAGAAGGCAAACAAGATTTTGACGAGTGTTTCCAAGCGGATTCAACTACATGATAGTGCATGATGATCCAAGAAGAGAAACGCATCCCTCCTACAACTGATTTCCCAAAAATAATCTTTTGGCAACTTTCTAGAGAACCAGACACGGTTTTGCTCAACACAAGGTTTTGCACAAACGTTGGGTGTAAGTAAATAAGCATCACAAAACATTAGGTTGAAGTGTTTTATGCTGTAGAAGTTATTAGTGTCAAGTTTAAACAGAGTTGACGAAATGCCCGGTTCTCCAGTGGTTTATGATCGACACGCCTTTAAATTGCAGGTAGCTAATCTTAAAGTGTAACAAAGGTCGGAGAAAAAACCATCTGAACAGTGGGCTGTGGACTTCTTAGTTTTCTTCAAATTCATTTGAAAGATGGTTAAATCAATGACCGATATCTACTAAATCTGAATAAGAATGATTTACCTCATTGGACCAGGCTGTCATCCTATTTATTACGTTAAAAGCCCAAAGTCAACATACAGAAATCTGCCGACATTTCTTAGTATCTGACATTCTGGTATCTGATGTGAAGTATATATGAAATAATTCATATTTGAACTGCCGTTGTAGATGTAAGTGAAGAATGATCATCGCAGTAAATTTTCCAATTTAAGCAATTGGAAAATTTACTGCGATGATCATTCTTCACTTACATTCTGTTATCTGTTTGTCTGATTATCCAGTGACTTTACGAGGAGAAACTTCTTGATATTCGTCATCAAGTCCGTATCATTCAGAATAACAGGATGGCAATGGCGCATTACAAACTGCCCTTGATTAATAGGATATCAACATTGAAGATATATTCACCACGATTGAGTAACTATCTTACCAACTTCAGGCTCCAAATTGAGAATATGAGCTGAATCCACGCTGAAGGCTCCCACTTTACCAGAGGACACGTTTTCTTGTAAATCCTTCAACAGTTCATCACTCTTGGTCAAAGGTGCAGCCGCAAAAATCAGCGTCATTTTACATACTACACTTCCTTCACTGTGAATACATAAGAGCAATTAGAAAAAGCTGGCTTCAGTAAGTATCACTACAATTATGAGATTATATGCTAATTCACTGCTGTAGCGTATTCGTTAACAACAATGCCACAGCGGATTTGGGCCCTCCTCCCACCCCTCCATTTTTTAAAGTTCTGTTTCCATCACATCTAGCAATGTATTCCATTTCCAACCTTCCTTCGATTCTCCACGGCAAATGTTTACTTAACATCAAGAGAAACGCGCGGAATGTGCTTTCACGACATGTCCGGACAGGAATCAGGATTATACTGGGCACGTTGGCTAGTCGCGCTTCCACGCCATTCATTCAAGACTTAATTTGAAGCATCAGAAGCCATTTTGTTTTCTTCGTGGATCAATTTATCCTTATTCAGTACCAGAATGATAAACTAAGAGAAACAGCAGATGTGCCCAAATTGTTCCAATAGCAGACTTCTCACGTGTAAACAAAACAGGTGTGGCCAACATTCGCACGAGAACCTTTTCGCCCGGGCCTGAGTTGACAAAATAATCTTACCTAAACGAGATATCCTCGACCCTCACAAAGGCAGGGTTTGTAGAATAGATTTCCTGAACCTAAATCAATTAAACCACGAATGAGACAAATAAACACTCAAAATAATTGAATAAATATCTCACAAACTCAAACGATACTGCAGACTTTATACCCCACCACTACATTGCTTTGAGTTGTTTTTTTATGCTCATTCTTCTATTTAAACTTTTGTTCTTTCTTGTAATAAATTGGCTTGTTCAAGATTGTAAGATTAATTTACGCCATTTTAATAAACATTTAAGGCGGAAATGTTTCAAGAGCACACCACCCCTACACCCGAAAATGCAGTTGTACATCGCTTTCTCAAAGTCAGTTAACTCCAACTCTCACGGTGTCTGCCCTGGATTACAGCATGACGTGCCCAAGAAAAATCCGATCAACATAGCAAAATAAAAACAACTGCACAAACCTAACTTCACCTTACAGGAAAACCTCATCTATTTAAATTATTACTGAACTAAATTAAATTTGTTGGCGCAAAAACCTGTGAAGTTTTACTTTTTCTTCGATTGGGATTTTTTTTATTCTGCATAAGGTTTTACCTTTTGCCATTTCCTTGTTTTACATCATTGCTGGGATATTTACACTTACTTGCAAAGCCCTATATGCGATGTCACCCATGTGCCCAATCACTAATTCTAAAATACATACTGAAGTTTTAACTCGAGCTGCCAGGGTTTTATATTCGTCTGATGTCTTGTCGTAGAGCTTAGAACTCCATTTTTCCTTTGTAAGTCTCAATTCAGCCTTGACTTGTTTATCTGTAAGGAATCATGTATTTTTTTAGTTTCCAGTGAAAGTATCAGTAGCATTCTGTGCCTCATAGAGCTGCGAGAATACTAGTGGCAAGAAAACATGTCTTCAATCCAAAGATAACGCTGCACTCTACAATTTGAAGAAGTAACCACTAGAAAGTTGTTGTCACCGTGAAACCATGACTGACAATTTCTTATTTTTATCCTTGTCAAAACACAATAACGGAAACTTATTTTAGATAACCAAGAAGTACATTTTTTTACTAACAGTCTGAAATTGTATAAGCACCCAGTATCTACATACATACATTTACATACATACATTTTATTTTTGTTTTCAAATTAAAATTAAAATTATAACATACCCGCGGATACTTGAGCTAATCTAGGCGGGTCATGTTTATTACTAAAAATCTAATTACTAATTAAAACTTTAGTATTTATACCTAAAAATCACTAATTCCATGACTATATTTAACGACATACCATGTATGTGGACCTGTTTGCTAAATGACACTCCAAAGTCATTTTGTGCCACACAGTAATACGATCTTTGACCGGTGTCGTCACTGATTGGTGTTTGGTATGACGTAACCACGTGTTTAGTGCCTCCGATAACTTTGTAGACCGTAACATGTGGACTGGGCAGCCCAGTGGCATTACACACAAACAACGATGTGCCATTGATTTTCACCAGAGCATATGCGATGACAGGTAAAGTACCTGAACAAAATAACACAGAGGCATCTTAAATTTCATGATTTTTATAGCACGTCATAGAAAAGAATAAATAAGTGTAAAATTAATATACTTAATAGAGGGATGACAAAATAGAACAGTCAAAGATAGCAGAAATCAGAGACGCTCAAATATTACTGCCAAAACACGGTTACTGAGGAAACATTTATCTCACCCGCGTTTGAAGGTCTATTTTAGAAAACTTCTTGCAGTTTGATGGCACTCAGAGGGTTTACTTAAGTCACTTTCAACTTCAATGGAAGCAGTCTCAGTTTGCTCCCGATTTTTTCTTATTTCTGACAAGTCAAGATACATACATGTATGACTTGTCTACAAATTATATTACACCGAGATGCCACTTGCAGTATTTACCTCTGATATTCATGGCACATGATGATAACCCCAGTTTGTTTGATACTAAACACTCGTAAACCCCAAGATGTTCCATTCCAAAGTTGTTGATGACCAACTGTTCCTGATGAGCCCTCTTCCCAGGCTTGATTTGCAAGTCTAAATCAGTAGGCAGAGGCTTGGAATCCTTTTTCCAGCTGGTAACTCTAGGAAGCGGTATTCCATCTCCCAGACAAGTCAAACTTCTAACACCACCCACTTGTTCCTCAGTAACTGTCAACGAGCAGGTTGGAGGCTCTAAAGAAAAATAGAATGAAATATGGAGCACTTGTCAATAATTAAGCAGTCAATAAGTTGTTATTGACCTCTTAAAGAGTACTTGTTAGTAATCAGCTGTTTAATTCTCTTGGCATTATCTGTCAGTAGCTTTGTGTTACGTTAACAGGCCCATAACAGGTCATAACAGTAAAGACAGATAAGCACACGTTATCACAGAATAAGATGACAATATACATATGGGTATAGGTATCAGATAGATAAATGTAGGTATAAGTTGTTTTGTTTGTCATTTTGATATCACTGTTTCTCTTGTTACGACGTATCCATTCTATCAAATCAGCAACAAAGAAGAAAAATCAAACTATTTTTAATGATTGGCCCATTACTTTGCCATCAACAACCACAAGGATGACAAACCCAGAGGAATGTTACTTGTGGCCATTAGATAAGGACTCTTCCTAGCACCAGCAGTGGCTGTTAGGACACGCTTACCTTGTGGACAAACTTTAGAAAAGTTACCATGAACAATGTCTTGAGCCCAGCCACTGATGAAAGGAAAAGCAAAATATAAAAACGCGATTAAAGTAAACAACAAGCTTGTACAAATAAAGTTATTACAAAAAAAAATGTTTATCTTACCTTCCTATCTTGCTGTCAAATGTTGTGCACTTGTTGTTACTCCATCCACAGTAAGGATCCAAAACAGAGACACAAGTTCTAAACAAGAAAAAATCCAAACAATATATTTAAGTATAGTTACAAGTACGTACTAGAGATTCATCAGAAGGAGAGTCATTAAAATGATCATTTATACATTCAAGAAATTGTTGATGTTATCGACATAGTCACCAGTTCATGGTTAATTGGTATTACAAACATCACAAATTTCAATCATAATCAAACTATATTCATAAAGAATTATAAAAGATCCTGAGGTTTACCTGCAACTTTGGTACTGACTACAATGCTCTACTGGCAGCTTGACAACACTAGAGTTGCTTCCAATGTACACAGCTCCCTGATAAAGAACAAGTCATTAAAATGTTAGCTTTTCCTTGGATTATCGTCTGCTTATGCCAGCCAAAAGTATCACATGCATAAATAGCTGCGTGACAAGTTGTCTGATACATCTGCGATTTTTTTTATTATTATTATTATTATTATTTTGTACAACAGTACTACAACTACTTATTACAGAAGTGATAACTATTTACAACAGTAATACAACTACTAGCACTACTTACTCTAATTAACAATACGATGCAATTACACATGCTATTTACAGTACTAAAATTTGCATAATTTACTCTACAAAACAATACATTTAACCTCTTTAAGTTACGATACTAATACCATTACTGATGTTTCTTACATTCATATTACAGCAATAGTAGTAAAACACTAATAACTGATTTTGCCACTGAGACTGACTATATAATGTAAATTGAATTAATTAGATTAAATTTCGCATTTTTCAGCTTTCCATTGCAAAAGATAGCACCGACTTCAATTCGAGAAAATTGAAAGTTTTTTCCAGCTTTTTGCAATAATAATAACATTTTTCAGTTTGCACTACTAAAATCCCAAACTTCCAGGTGAGGTTTGGGCTTGTATCTGGGGGAAAATCATAGTCCTTAAATAGTTGCTGTATTTTAGATGGTGTAAAGTTAACTCTGTGCTCATTATTGAACCATGTAAGGACTTTTTGAAAGAAGTTTAGGCCAGCAGGACACTCCAGAAATGCATGTTCTAAGGAATCAGAGGATTTACAGAAAAAACAATCTTCACTTTCGGATATTTTGAACTCTTAAGCTCCTTTTTGGTCACTAAAATACGGTGTAATAGTTTAAAGGAGAATTGTCTCAATTTGTTGTCGGCTGAGAGGTGAGGTATATTTTTGAATAATTTTTCTCATTTATCTTCTATGCCAGAGTAATGTTGGGCCCAAGACGCGACAGCTGTAGGTGTAACCTCTGATTTTTCTTGGAACAGAAGGTAGTAGTCTTTGCATTTCATTTTAGAGAGAAAAACCCATTTTCCAGTTGAAAAGTCAAAAAGGCAGAATTATCGAGAACAGAATTCTTAGGTCTTAGCGTAGAAGCCGCCTTGGATTTGAGGTTCGGTGGAATAGATGCAAGGATTTGAAAAAAGTGTAAAAAATTTGTTCACATATTGTACCTTCGATTGAATTCTTCAAAAGTAAGAAAATTACCATTTTCATTTAAAATATCTTGAATGTAATGAATTCCATTTTCGGTCCACCTCTTCCAAAAAAGCGATTTGCCTTCAATGGTTTATGTCTTGGTTATTTCAAAGAATAAGGTCACTTTCGTAGCTATCTTGGTTGACCTGGCGTAATTGCTTAGAGTAATCTAGCATTTCTAAGTAGAATAACGATACACTTTTGTCTAACTTCTTTGTATTGTAATTGCACTTGAGTAAGAAGTTGAGACCTCCATACTTTTCAAAAAAAGCATTGGAATAGCTTTCCAAGCATCAGTAGAAGGGTTTTTTTCTAACAGTCTTCCAATCCAGCTTAAACAGAGCTGATACATCTGTGATAATCCTCCTCATTCTGGACAGGCATTAGATTTCCTTGACTGATGCAATCCCAATAATACAAATTATGCTCATTTTTCTTTGGTCCAATAATTAGATTAACTACCATTCAAAACCACATTACTCACCTTATAAAGTTTCATTGTATAGACTGGATTCGGTTTCTGAGGAGAAAGGGAAACTATTAAATATTAAAGGCCATACAAGTTCTCACTGTACTACATGTATCTTAAGTAGAGGTAGAAACCAATTCAGCTGCTAACACTGTAATAATGTTTCAGTCCTTCTGAACTAAACAAGTAGTCAAAAGAGTGAGTCAGGAAAGATGCAGTGCATAAACTGTTCACCCCATCTTCCAGGACTCACAACAGCTATCACAAGAATGAACATATATTTTAGCTCATTGAAGGTCACAGCGTAATACTTCATGTAACAACAAGAAGTACACAGCACCTTCAACAACAGACTGCACTCACTGTCGCTTGATTTCCTTGGAGATACATTATGAAGCAAAGGAGAGATTATTGAGAGATGTTTGTATTTCTTGACAAATCAAATTTGTTTTTTTTTCATATACCACTGAAATACCAACACGATGATGTAACTTATTATGCCATTGCTGTGAAGGAAATAACTTTGTGGTTGTAGCATAATAGCTTGTGTTAGAATATTGAGAGATTAAAGAATGCTACAAAATGCACATCAAAACTTATTGAACTTGACTTTTCTCTGTAAATGAACAATCCATTACAGGAGTGTTTGTATTACCTAAAGACCTATGGGCTGTCACTTCATATTCATTGTGTCTTGTCAAAGGAACAACATTAACAACTCTTTGATCACTCCTCATACCATGCTATTCAACTTCCAGTGTAACCGTTATTCATCTTAACAGTTCTTCAGAGCAAATGCATTCAAGAATACAAACCTCAAAAACCCTGATCTGTTCCACAATAACAGGATTGCCATTACCAGATATGTTGTTGAACACTTTGAACACAGTGCCATTCTCTACAAGATAAACGTTCATTTCAAATCAATGAAATCAGTAAGAAATGAAACCTAAGAAATTTACAAAGTAAAACATTAACTCATCTACAAGTGGAATAATTTGGATCCTGGGACTCAAAATGCCTGACCGAACTGTTATTTCTAGAACCAGGTCTCACAGTGGCCAAAACTGATGAAACATAATGAGTCTTGTGATGTGGTTCCAGCTCCCCACACCCACACACCACACATCTTCTTCAAGTGCCACATCAGAATTTTTAGTGATCCAGCATAACTAATTTGGGGACGTCTAATAATGTTACCAGCTTTGTGGGTAGGATTTCTTTCTTCCCCCTCCCTGTGTGATGTCCACCCTTGTTCTCTTGTATCAACCCTGTACAGTTAACAACCCAAAGATGATGGCAGCAAGATCCAGTACTTGCTTATGCCACCAAAAGACCTCCTCACTGTAGGTTGCCTAGTTTAAAGCAGGCACACAGAGTTGGCCCCTACAACACTCAAGTCAGTCACAGGTACATGTAACTTCACTCCTCTTAGACATACGTGGTGTAGTAAATTATCAGAAATGGGCAACAGTGCACGTTTGAAGCAGGTACTTGAGAAAGACATAAACTGAGCTGACACAACATGTATTTATCAAATTTGCACTTCACAGACACCTAAATTAAGAACACATTTGAGATTCTCCACAAATGACTGGAAACAGAATGACTTTCACATATCCTAAACAATGGTAACTTAAGTTGTGTTTTAAATTAAGTGCAGACCATAATTGATATAAAAAAAATAAATACCGGTAAATTACTATCTCAGTAATAGAGGATATTGCATGCCCGCGTGTGGATACAGATTTTATCTCCAAGCGTTCAACTCGATATCTCACAAGTGAGCGCAGCGAACAAGTGAGATATTGAGTTGAACATGAGAAAATAAAATTCGTATCCACAAGCAGGCATGTAATGTTCTGTTTATTATATAAACATACTAATGACAACGTTTTTGACGATTTTCTGAAGATTCCCGACCACTTTCCAAAGATTTCCGAAGATTTTCCAAAATTGTTCTGAAGGCCAGATGAACACTTCCGAACATTTTCCGAACATTTTCCCAAGATTACAGAAGATTGCCGAAGATTGCCTAAGACGACCGAAGAAGATCTGAAGATGTTTCGATCATACATCAACAAATTTAGGTGTAGTTAAAGGGACAAAAGAAAAGTGTTATCAAAAAGGAATGATATCTTCACAGTGTGAAAGATAAAAATAGTATCTTCACTGCACACGATGAAGATATGATTTTTAGTAAAATGAAAAATCCTGGTATTTCACCGCTGTTTATATAATAATACAATTTATGCAATGTTTTCTCCCTGCTACATGTGTTTAGACTTAATGTTCCTTACCTATAGAAATAAACATGACAGGAGTAACCTGTATCTTTCCTCTTTTAGCTTTATCCACAACAAGCCGAGTAAATCTAGAATCAACACCACAGAGTTGTTCAACTACTTTTCAATTATACACAATCAGTAATTCCCAGAAAATTAATGTCCAAAACCCCTACCACTTCCCATCTGGAGTTCCACAAATTGGCCCTTTAAATACAGTGTGTACCCTCCCCTACATGTGGATATTTCTAAACGTTTTGCACACCACCTAATTCAGATCAACAGTTTAAAAAAACCAAAAATGCAAATACATGTAAATGGAGACTGAGTATTCTTGAGAGTATCTCCTAAACTTCAAAAATAACGGTTTGTTACCTTATTTCAGGTCTTGTAAACAGAGGTTTTCTTGCTTTAAACAGCGGGTCTGACGTGAGTGGATCAGCTAAGAGGGTGTGTTCAGAAGCAAACTTGAGGGTTTCCCAAGAGTAACTCTTTGTATTAAGTTTGCTATCACACTAAACAATTAAAAAAGTTATAACAATATTAACTATCACACCGAGTGCAATAATACTACCACATAGAGTATTAACAATTATACCACCATTAAGATTGCCTCAAACTGACAGGTAATATAAACAGACCAATCACTAAATCATGCCCCTTGTTAAATCATGCCTGGCATCATTCAATATAATTTTATTTGTTACCAACACTGGTTTGGATGTTACTAAGCATGTTTTGCAGACTGAGATGTTGTTTTGATTATTTTCAGGTCATACAAGATTTTTTGTAATAGCCCCAGACCAAACAAGGAATCAAACACAACTCATGAACCAAATTGGCATGCATTTATTCTAGAAACCAAAATTTTACTACTTGATGATGTTTAGAAGTTGTCAAATGTATGAGCAACAAAACTTTTACCCATCAAGGTTAAATTACTCTACATGTCACACTGTCCATTTCACACACCTTTGGCCTGCCAGGAACCATTGTCAAATTTATTGGAGATACTGAAACCCACAAAGAAGTACCATCGAAACCTTTCTTGGTAGTCTCTTTCAAGTACTGGCTTGTCTCAAACAGTTTTTTAACAGACTTCATGCTGTACCTACAAACAGCTGAGCCAAGCACTCCAAGCCTAAAACAAGGAATGATTATCATAATTAACTAGTGTAGCTAACAGGTACAAAGAATGCTGCCTTACATTACTGTGGGGGAAACAGCACATGACATGATATTTATGGGGAGGTACATGTACAGGTGTATTCTCTTATACAAGCTGCATGTAGCCACGTACAAGTAAAGAGTATCAGTTTTTGAGACATTTTGGTCTCAGATACTGTTTAATAGGGATTCTGGCCTTTTTGGCCTAAGACAGGACATGTTTGACACTCTGGATTTGAATTGGGTATGTCATTCAGATAAAATTAATCTTCACCCCATTATTAACAACTGCATTGTGCTGTATGGAAGATGGGTGCCTGGGATATCCAGGGGCCTCCACTGTGACCAGACGGCTCCTAGACAGTATAACGCTCCCTCGGCTGGCAATCCCCACAACCCAGCCATGAGCCCCCATGCAGTCTTCCAGGCACCCGTCACACTGAGTTAACAGTGGAGATGGGGAGGGGAGGTGTGGACAGAGAGATGTGGATGAGTAGACCAAAACGACCATTCCAGGGACTGCCAGGCTGGAACATGCTAGTACAATGGTGAAGAGCACTGGACATGCAATACCATACAAATACCGCTGACAGGAAGTACTAGCTACTCTTTGTTGTTAACTTCGTTAAACTGCATTTAACAGCATAAAATGGGGAGTTTGAAACTCTTCTCAATACACAAATTAAAGCCATTCCTGGTTAACTGAAGATGTGAAATAGAGACCAGTACTGGTTTAAGGAGGTCTGAAACAAGGTATAGTTTATAGGAAAATTGTGCTTTTTGGCGTGAATTAGCTAGGTTGAGGGCTTCAAAAACTTGGCAACACATCCCCACTAAACATTTTGGGGAGTCCCCCACAAGACGTATTAATGACGGTTTGACACCTACCAAATTGCTGTAACAGTATCCCAGAATTAGGGGATTGGATCTACATGATTGTATGTTGTAATATCATGGCAGTCACATTTGAACTCATATAAAGAATGTCTCAAAATCCTTTAAATTGCTTCCCCTTTGGTCTTCAAATTTGTACCTAGCACCAATTACACAAGAGCTAAGAGAGCCAATCACATTGTAGAATGAAATCAAAGAAAGTTGCACTACCTTGGGGTTTGTCTCAGAAATGAGATGCCACTGAAACATAAAAAGCTGTTAGTAGTGCTACTTACTTTGGGGTGGTGAAAATTCCATAAACATAGTCTTCATTTGTCACAGGGTCTTGATAGGTAGCTGTTGCTTCTGAGAATACAAATAATTGATCAGTTGTCTTAAATGAAATGTGTTTGTAAATTTTCATCATCATTTACATTGTGTTTAACATACCTGCTGGTCAGGTCAGAATACTCCAACATTTTTCAATCAATGCTTAGCTAGAAGTGCACCTAGCCTGCCCACCAACACCTCCAGTTAACTGTAACTTGTTTATATTGTTCAGTGGTGTTTCAATTTCGTTAAAAATCAATGATTTTTTAAAAAAGAAAAAACAACAAGGGGGGAAAAAAACACTTGTCCCACACATTATGGTCTGTCCACAGACCCTCTATTATGTCTTGACTTGGTCGAGATCACACAAAATATTAATGCAGGAGATATGAACAAGCCAAAACATGAAGGGGCACATCACCTTTAATTAAGGAGAAACTTAAATTATTGTGCATTGAGGAGGCCCAAGAATTTCAGTTGTTGCACTCGCTGCTACTCTTGAAGAAGAGTAAGTTTCAGAAAAACGTCTGTGGACAGACTGCACAAAATACTCTTAATGAATACTATTTGTTGAGAATTTCACAGTTGTGTCTGTACAGAAAATAGAGTGAAAAAAGATCCTAAATGTTAATTTAGTGAATTTAAGTTAAAGAGGGAATATAATATTTTACGCAATCAATCAGATACTATTGAATTGACATGGAAAAAGGTCTGTCAACCTAGTATATAATGTACAACATACAACAGGATGCAGCACTTAAAACAAATAACATTTGTGTTCATATGGCTTCCTTCCGTTCCAAATGCACACAAATTACAGATACCAAACTTTGCCACCCCCTCCACTTAAAAACCTAAAAACACCTAGCAATAAGGTAGTCCTTGTATATTTGTAAAACTTACGTATTTCATTATAATCAAATGGAATTGTTCCAGGAACAGAACATAATATTCTAGTCTTCACAAATGAAGTGAATCGGTTCACCAAAAGTCTATTGCCACCTTCATCATACTGAAAAATACAAAATATTCCTGACCAGTTACATCACTGTTAAATAAAGGAACAATATAGCTTAATTATTTCTTTTAGGAGCAAAAAAAATATTTTTGCTGTAGTAAAGAGTGATTGCATGGCCCACATCTAAATAGAAATTTCTCTGAGTTCTTTAGTAAATTGGCAGTTTTTATTTGCACGATTGTATCTCTCCTCAATCAAAACAAGAAAAGTAGTGATTATCCAGCAGTAATTATATAAAGGGCAAAAGGCAAAACCTAGATGTAGTAATAATTGACCCAACAATGACTTAACAAAGAAGTTGAAGTTATTTCTGTTCTTTCCGTCAGTAGTACCCTACTGTTAGATGTACAAGCAGCTTGTTAATGAAAACATCTAAACACATACCTGACAGACTCTGGCTACCCGTGAATAAACAGTCTGCAGAAAAATGACAACAATTCCATCATTAACTTCTTGCCTAAGAAGCAAATACTCACATATTGTAATAAATTCCACAGTAACAACAAATGTCTTGATGCACTTATACCAATTTTGGGTGAAAACTGCAACTTAACTGGGGAGCTCTGCCAAAAGCAAATCAATTATTGTTATACAAAATTTCTATTAGCAAGATTCCAGACATTAACAACTGTTATTATATGGCTAGCCACCTGTGAGTGGGAAAGATGAACCAAATCCTGCACTGTGATTGGCTAGCAGGCAAGCTGGAGCTATCTTGCCCATTCAGGAATACCTGCTGTGTCCCGCAAGAAAAATTTCTTAGAAAGTCATATAGTAAATCCTTTATAATTGACCAAGCTTGTTTGTTCAAGATGGCTAGATATTGGCCTTATTCTCTTTTTTTTCTCTGTCTCTGTCCATAGACACACAAGAAAAGAACTTGCACGGCCAATATCCAGCCATCTTGACCTCAGGCTTGGTCAATGACCCATATTTCTCGTTCCAAGAAAACAGCACGTCAAACATTTGGAAGTAAATGGGACTGAGGTTGTTGGGTGCTCCCTGGGATAAAATGGGCTAAAAGCAACACACCCTTCAAGTAATGAATGAGCCAACACATGTAGCGCATGCTACACCCAGTAATGCATTTAGAAAACATCCATCCAATAATATGCACACTGATTGGTTTAAAACCGCGTTTCAATAACTCCATAGAAATGATGTAATGATGGCGTGAGCAAAGAGAATTTACATTTTTATGATCAAAGTAACCAAGTTTTGTTTTGCTGCAGCGTTTTCTAAAAGAAATAGAAAACATGTTCTCCTTGTTTCTATTAAGTTATAGAAACACGAGTGTAAGTTTGGGAGAACTAGAAATGTTGTGGGAACATGAGCTGAGTGGTGAATGTTTCCACAGCTTTTTAGAGTTCTCCAAAACTTCCACAAGTACATGTGTTCTAGTTCTTAAGTAAAACTTAAGGGAAATTAAGCCAACAAGTGTGGCACATGCCAAACCCAACTAGTGACTAAGGCTAAGGCAACGATACCACTTTAGTCTACCTATTTTAGAAAGCTTATATTTACAACAGCAATTAGTGGCAGAGGATTTACAATCTTACAAGGCTACCTGTGACCACACAAAAAGAGAATGATATACCTGACTGTGTATAACCAATCAAAGTGTAGAGCTGGAAGAGCTAACCTGGGAGACAACAAATCTCAGGACTATAGGGAGGAGAGCAACAGTTGTCAAAACAAGAGGAACTTCCACTCCACATTGAAGGACTGTATAATTTAAATCTAACGTTCTTACCTTACTAGTCTCTGCAGCAGTCTCTCTTAGAAAAAAGTAAACAAAGTTGTCCGTGTAATTAAATGATGATACAAAGTCAGCATCTGAAGGAGGAACAAATTAAACAAGATTACAGAGATGCTAATCAAACAACGATACAGTCAAACCTCTTAGCGTGACAACCATTCATTTACAAACATGCAACCACTTCTTGCAAGCAACACAATTTTTCCAGACAAGTAGATATAAAGTTAGTGACATTGACGTGCAAATATGTCTGATAATATATAATGTAATAATATATAATATAATATATGTCTGATAATTCCTCTGAAGGACTGAAAATACATTGCACCTGTTGCTGTTCATTCTTTGCAAAACCCTGGAAGACTTGCAGGACCAATTTTTTAAATTTTATTTTAGAACACAAAAGTATAATTGTTGTAAAAATTTAACAGAAATTCTATACCTTTTAAAACATAAACATTAGGAGATGAATCTGTTTGCAGAAGAGTTCTACTGCTGAGATCTGCTGCAACCCATCTATAAATAACTGATCTGCCAATGTTGATTCCAGTAAACAGGTGATTACCTGCAAGAAGAAATGTTTACAGTTATTTGTCATGAGTTGTAATGAAATGAAATGACCCACTTTGATTAAAGGCATTCCATTCCGTTTCTAACGTATTTAATACTTGAAAAGGAAATAAATTTATAAGTTTCTTTGGCAACAATTTCTGGTGTATCAAACGGAATGAATAACACTTAAATTCTACATTTCCCACCAACATAACTTCACTGCAAATGTAAATACTTACTTGTAAAGGTGCCGGTGACGTTTTGTTGATCACTGGACGGACTTATTCCATCTCCAGTCTTCCCAGCTGGTGGGGGATTTAAAGAACTGGTCCTCTGCAACAATAAGGACTACTCAACAAAAATGCACAAGGGTTTGCACTGAGTGTGACGTGTGTCAAATGATTTGCTCACTGTATGTGCAGTCAGCCCTTCTTTCTTGAGGAAAACTATAGTTTAAGGTTCAAGATGATTGTATCAGCAATATAACATGGCCTAGTGAGTTTTCATTGACTGGTCATGCGATATTGAACAAACACAGAAAAAAAAACCAAGCTGTACTGTTGTACTTCTCACCGGAAATTTCCAGCATCTTGGTGTTTCAGCATAAGTGCCACAAACAAAAATAAGTCCTTGTGGGGAAAACAGGAGCAGCTTTATATGATTTTGGCAGCTATCCTAATGGGAAGAAAAGCCGATAGCATAAAGATTCAATCATCATCAACATTCAAAATTCATTGTTTCTAAAGCATAGTTAATACTGTGCTGTGCATCAACTACTGTGTATGAATCAAGTTGCCATCTTCCTACATGGGTGCTTTCCATTCAACCAAAAATTCCAAATTTTTTTGTGAAAAGGGGACAAATGGTACAGAAATTTCCTGGGAAAGGTTCCAGAAAATCCAAAATGGTCAAATTTCTGAAAAATGAACCATTCAACCGGAAACACCAGAATGAAAATCAAATGGAATGGAAATTTCCATGAAAAAGTTTTCAAAAATATGGGTATACAGTACCTCAGGAGTGTCCTCTTTTTCAGAAATTATGCAAATTTGCAATACTGCGCTACTTGTTTTGGCAACAATCACAGAGAGTTGGACATCCCACGCAAAAGATGATGGCAACATGTATTTGGAAATGGATTAATATTTTGCTTTTAGAATTTCGCCACTTAATTGTCTGTCGCTAAATAGCTACAGCTAAATTTGATAAGAGTGTAATTCTAATATAAATATGCCCACGTATTTAATTTAGAGATATGTTCTGTGCAGAAAAAAACTGGCGTTATATTCTTTGGAATAACAAACAAATACTCATTAATAATAAAACAGTTTATTATAAAA